ACATGCCAAATCATGATAATATATGCATCTTATTTTTGGGCAATAGATATACCTATAAGACAATGTAAATGACACACCATGTGCAAATCAGATATGATAATATAAGTTTAAAGTGCTTCCACAGAACATGACAGATGTAACCAAGATCAATGTAACATGTTGTACGATAGGTAGAATAATATTAATTTCTTTTTTCCTCGAGTTTACCTCCACCAATATACTTATTTTTAAGAAATCAACTTGTTTCTACATAACATTGTTGATTCATACAACCACATAACATGTAACTACCATGTAAAAATTACTAATCATTCCTTCTCCCTAAACAAAAAAAAAATACTAATTGTCTCAAGCATGCATGAGAGATGAAAAGAGAGACCAATAAAAAGAATAGTTTCACATTACTAAGGATGAATTAGAAGAATAGAGTCGGATGATCTGTAATAGTTTAAATTTTTAGTTATATTGGTATCCGATCTCATGCATATTACCATTGACCATTTGGATTCAGACTTGAATTCTTAAAAAAAATCAACATCATATCAGAATCAGGTTGACAACTAAATGAGTCAAAATTGTAGAACATTTGAATCAGATGGGTTCAGTGATTGAAGCCAAGGTAGGTTAACCAAGTGAGCCAAGTGGGCTAGGAAACCTAGGTCAAGCTAAAGTCTGACCAAATGAAGGAAACTAAGTCAAGCCATGGGCATCTTAATGGGTAGATGTGAATGAGTGAACCATCTCGTAGTATGGAAAAAATGCAAATGAACTTTCAAGAGTAAGGTGAAGATGATCAAAGATCAATTCGCACAGTAAAGAGAAAGATATTGAAATATTCATATGCATGAGATGAAAATAAAGATGAACTAAAAGAATAATTAGACATTCCTAAGGAATGGAAGCAAAGTGACAAAAAATGAGTTTACCCACAACTTAATAGTTTAAACTTTTGAGTTACATTATTGTCCAATCACATGTATATAAAGATTGACTATTTAGACTCAAACCAAATTTTTATAAAAAATGATTCGAACATGGACAAATGAGAAAATCCTGCAATGGTACTTTAGTCTATTAATGCTTCGGGCAACTATTTTTTGTATTAAGAAACTAAAGATCCGCAATATTAGTTGAGTACGGAGCTATAGAAGTATTGCTATTTCTAAAATCATGAGAAGGCCTTTAATGCATTTAGCACAATAACCCATAACTAGTAGTATCATGGTCATTTAGTTTAGCTTGTGGTTCCTTGTGCAGAAATTTTGCAGATATTGATGAATCCAGTAGTTGTACGTTTAAGGGCAACAGACATATTCACCATACTAAACTCCAAAAGCATGTTTTGTAATGGGAATTTCCTTCAGTTCATACTATACTGTGAAGACCTTCTCCAATGGCGTTTGTAATTGTCGAAAGATCAAATATTTTTACTAATGAAAACAAATAACCTTCGAAAAATTAAGTCTCTTTCCCGGTAATAAAATTAATTTGCATTCTACAAATGCTGATGAGCCAAAAGAATAAACTTCATCAAGATTCAAGTCTACGGTCCACATTATTTAGTTGGGGGTTATGAACACCGCGAAGGAAGGTCTCGTAAATGATCACAGCAAATGGAACCATCAACAGACAAATCGCTATTTGCTGCCCTACATGCTTACTCAATAACTGTCCGGTAACCCTAATCTAAAAGCTAAGTCCTAAAGAACCAAGATCCGGCAAATTTCTCTCATCCCTCAACAAGGAAGCACGAAGGAAAGGCCAGATCAACACCCAATCCAGCTCCATAGCGACAGAGAAGAAAGCGAGGCAGGGGGAGAAGGAAGAGGGGGCCACATGTACGTACGGTGCTCCTGCGGCGTTCGGCGGCGATGGCGAAGCCGAAGGCGGTGAGGCAGAGGGCGACCGCCAGGATGTGTACCAGTGTCGACCCCTTCCCTTCTACCATTTTCCTCGCCAAGGCCCAGAGAAACCAAACGAACAAAAGCCAGAGAGAGAGTGTGTGTGTGTGTGTGTGGAGAGAGAGTTTAGTGACACTAGAGAGAGTTATAAAGTGGGAAGCGGCGGGAACACGGAATAAAGGCACGGGAGGGGGCGTCAAGTCCCCAACATAGGACTGGAAAGCCCACCACTTAAAGAGAGCCACGTATTTAGTTGAATGTGGGACCCACCGAGTTTCCACAAAGAGATACGCCCCATTACTTGGAGAAGCCACGCATTTACTTATCTTATTAACTCTTTCAATCTAAGCCGTTCATCTATTTATAATAAAGGATAATATTGGGCCGTTGAGATTATACGGGGAAGCGGAAACGGACGGCTCTAAATTTGGTTCTTTGGTCACGGCTAAATGCCGCGTGGTAGGGTAGCTGAGTTAGGCCCGATAAGCGCAACAGGCAGATGGGCATGCCCTCCACGTGCGGTGGCGATGGGCGGTAGAGATACAGCAGCGAATCCCCTCCCAGCTACTTACCTACCCTGGTGATTGTAATTGGAAGCCACGCTGTTGTGGGACCCATCGCGAGACCTCTCCGTATCCTCCCTTGGTCAATCGCCGCCGTGCACCTCGGCGTCATCCGAACTTAACCAGAAGGTTCGTTCCATGCACTTCTCGCGGCCACTCTCTCTCCCTCTCGCTGCCGATTAAATCTCGGTCACGTCGATGGCGACAGCCTTCGGAAGTCTAACCCCCTCTATCTCATGTTCCTCCTCTTCTTCCCTTTGCGTCTCGAGGCGCCAGAGGGGACCATGGAATTGGCAGAGAGCCTGCTGCTCCTTCAAGCCTCCATCCGCCGCTCGGAATGGCAGATCGGTGACTCCTCTGCTCTCGCAGGCTCTGCCCACGACACATGATCACCGGACCCCACCTTTGGAGGTCCAATTCAAGGAGGTCGGCTGATTCTTGCCACCGTTTCCCTGTTTCTTCCCTTTGATTTTCTCTTTTTTTCTTAAAGATAGTGTCGCTCAGGTGATCGAGACTCTGATAAATGGAGTCGATCTCTCCGAAGAAGAGGCCGAGGCGAGCCTCAAGCTTTTGATCGATGAGGCGGATGAAGCCCTAATTAGCGCCTTCCTTGTGCTTTTGCGTGTGAAAGGAGAGACCTTTGAGGAGGTATGCCTTTCAATCTGAGATTTTGGGCGCTGGAATTTTAAGACGGGTGATTGGGGATAATATTTTGATCGGTGCAGATTGTGGGATTGGCGAGGGCGATGATCGATTGTGCTGTGAAGGTTGAAGGTATCGATGATGCAGTTGACATTGTCGGAACGGGCGGGGATGGGGCCAACACGGTGAACATCTCCACCGGGGCATCTATTCTCGCTGCGGCGGCCGGTTTGAAGATTGCAAAGGTAGAGCACATTTGGGTTTCTTAAAGGAGAATGATTTGAAGCAACGTGAAAAGTTATGATGAGCTTCCTTGCTCCTTGCAGCAAGGTAATCGCTCCAGTTCTTCTGCCTGTGGCAGTGCCGATGTGTTAGAGGCATTGGGCGTGAACATCGAACTGGGCCCTGAGGTACTGCAAAAAAAAGTTCCATTTTCCTTGGCTTAAAATGTGGTTTCTTATTGTCTTGTTTCGATCTAATAGCATTGCTGAACAGAAATGAAGTAATGAAAGCACAAATACTCCTTCTAGCAAATATAATGAGGTTGCCTCATGAGCATCTCTCTATACCTTCTATGTCTAGAAGGACAGCAGTTATAGGGGCAGAAAGGTTCTCATTTGTTATATGTGGAAAGGGTTTGTTTGAATACATCTTGTTTCTATGCAAATGACAATATGAGTACTTGTATAACCCTATCAGTTGAAGTGGTTTTTTATTTTATGAACATAGTGTTATGGACTTAGCTGGAATTGCCTAAGTAGTGAGGCACCCTTGCGGCAAAGTCACGGACTTAGCTGGATTTG